GTTTTTACCAGTGTTGTCAGTTCAGCTCGTCAACCCATGCGACTCCAAGCAGCGAATTTCCTGAAGAGCTCCGCTTCACGGCATCGGCCGGCGGTTTTTGAAGAGGCGCCAACGACCAGCAACACAATGGATGGTAAGGTTTCATATTCAGTTCTACTAAAAATAGAACCTAGTGAGCTGTACTAGCAATAGGCTCGCGAGTACTGTCGTGGGGTCCCTGCCGTGGTAAAAGCGAAATGGAATGTGATACTAAATCTGGATTACTTCTTCTCAACCGAATTGGCTGCGATCGATCCCTTGCTGTAACCTTTTTTTTTTGATTATGCCGTCTAAATTCGGAGCTGGATTACCTGTCGACCTGGTCGACCTGGTTCCACAGTTTTCACAAAACGAGTAGGACTGCTTCAGCACTTTGTTCTCTTCTGAACATGGTACACGGTGCAATTGAAATAAAATTCGGGCTTCCCCTCCCTTCTCGTTTTCTCCTTACCACAGCCCCGTCCTACCCTACCACCCTTCATGGTATCGCATCCCACACGTCCACTTCATGAAAAATTCGGGAATCTGTAGAGCCAAGAAAAGGGAAGGGGATGTTGCTGTCAAGACAGTGAATTCGAAATCTCTCGAAATTCTGGACGGACAAACTCTAGAAGTTTCTGGCTAGTTCCTTACTGTATGCAAAAGTACCTTTTATTCCAAGCCCTCGCACAATCCATTGCCACCTCACCCAATAAGAACTTATGCCAGGAAGTTAAGTACGATCCCGCTGAAGCTATTCCACGCGGACCATGCGTACTGCTTCGGGAACGACCGACATTTTTTTAACCCAGTTTCTACGTTTTGTAACTTCCTCACCTACCCAGCCATGTGTTTCCCAAATTGATCATTTCAGTCGAAACCGCTGAGCACTTGAGTTTGTTCGGTTCGATCAAGCAAGGCAACGACACCTGCCAACTGCAGTCCGTGTGCGTGCCGATTCCGCTGGACAACGGCGATCCCCAAGTGGTCATCTACCCGAAGTGCTACGAGGTTCGTTAACGCTACGAAATAACTGGTTCCAAGCATGGTTCAGATTTGATTCCTTATGGACAATGTAAGGAACATGTTTTTGTGAATCAGTGCTTGGTCGATTTTGAAGTTCAACCTCGTTTCTAAACAATTAGCCGATTTCCGTGTCCCATTTTGGTCCCCCTACTGATTTTTCTTTGGTGAAACTGCTGCTGATGTGAAGGACCCTAGCAGTTTACTGATTAGAGAGGTGTTTGTCCGTTGTGTGCACTGGTAGAATACCAGCACTGGCAAGATAGTAAGCTGACTATACCCCTTACTGGCAAGCTAAATGGCACTCATGTGACTCTCTTGGTGCTGAAAATCATTTCGGCCTTAGGAGCAGTGAAATTGTTCATGCAGCGCCTAGGAATAAAGGGGCTATCGCTCTTCAGCGATCAGTGACTCGAGC